GGACATAGCCAGCAAGGCAGTTCAGAGCTCAGGAGACCAACACGGTGGGGTTGTGTGGCAAAAAGTTGTATTTTCAAAAGCTGAGAATTCCTGGATCATGTTGAAAGCCCACACCAGCTTTGTGGTGCCAGTATGAGGGAAAACAGCCTGTTACCCATCAGAAAAAGTAAAACAAATGTAAACCGCATGTGCAACTCACTTCACCCAAGTAGCTCAAGTACAGCTACAGCATCCTTAAATCAACTCCCTCACCAACTTTTTTGCAAACCCAAATAACTCCTCTGGAAAAAGATCTGATAAGAATCATCTTCTCACTTCTCACTCTTGATAAGAAATAGATGGAAACAGCACACGTGGGAAGCGAAGTTTATATAAGGCGTATTCATGCTGTGCCACCCCACCACAGGCAGCAAAGCACCGAAGAAACTTTGCCAGTGCATTATTTTTTGTCTTCAGTTCTGTATTAAGGGCAATGAAGCTATAAAATGATGACATCAAAACTAGAAAGGGAATATGGGGCAAGAGCTCAAGGACAGAGTCCTCTAGACTGTGCACCTTCCAGGCGCAGAGGGCAGGTGCAATAGCAAAAGATACAGGTCACACACACCTATTTCACATACCAAGTTTGAGCTTAACCCTCTACAGCAGATTGTCTTGTGATCACCCTGAGTCATATGAGAAAACAAATTCCTTTAGGTTTATTATAGAAGAAACTAATGTTAATTTTTGCAGAGATAGCATAGGCTTGGCTTGCTGTCCTGTCCAGGCTGATCAGTGCAGCTCTGTCCTGCATCACAGCAGCTCAGAAAAAGCTACCATGCTTCTGTTTTTCTGTGGTACTAGAGGATTTTACACTTAAATCTTAGCAACTCTTGGGGAGAAGCTGGGAATAAAGGTACTCTACAGCCCTGATCTGTGTACCTATGGGCCATGAAATTCCTCCTTGCAACACACAGATGTCCCAAGAGCGGCAGAGAAACATGCCACAGATGCAAACAGCTCATTTAAATCACTTGTATGTCTTTCCTGGTACAGACAGAACTGTCTGGAAAACAGAACTGCCTCCAGCAGCTTAACCAAAGCAGCTGAGCCCCAGACCTCAGCCTCCACAATCCTTGTGACACTTTACTCATTCCTGAAGTTCTGAGGTGGATCGGGATCATGGGTCTCCGATGTTTGAAGCCAACAGCAAAGAAAACATGAGCACCTCCAACCAGGAAATTCTCCGTCTGCCAAACCCATCCCTGTTGGCTGCTCCCTCCGCATCCCAGCCCATGGCCCGGATATTGCAGGGCAAATTATTTCCCAGTCTGTCCCCAGCGGCCTTTGGATGGAAATGATACATTCTACTCTGGGCAAGGGGAGAGAGAACCTTTGTACCGATACCTTCCCCAGAGCCAGGCCCTCAAAACACTCTCACTGCTCCCTCAAGGGTTTTACAGAGTGATCTTTCATTTGCTGAGCAAAGGTCTGGCCTCAGCCCTTTTCTCATTGTGTCTTCCTTATCCCTGTTTGCTTTTGGCACCAACAGCAGCCAAACTGGCCCAAGCAGCAGCTCACCTGCCAGCCACTACCCCAAGGAAACACTCTGCACCTTTCCAAGGAAGAGTAGCAGCTTCTCCTCAGCCCAAGAACTACAGCAGCTCCTTTACCAGCACAGGAGGAGACACAAGATGTTGCAAAACCACTAATTTCCTCCACTCTCATGTTTATAAGGGGCCAAGTCCAACAACAGTCCATGGGTGACAAAATCCTTGGGTTGTTTCCTGCCAGGAGAGGCAAGTACTGTCTTCAGGGAAGCTGCTCTGGATCAGATCTGTCCCTCTTAAACTGACACAGGGGGAAAACTGATCCAGAACCAGGGAAGGGATTTGCTTGAGCCCTCAGTCCTGCATAAAGACAAATCAGAGCACAAAGCTATCTTCTGCCAGGAGAACAAGCCAGGCAGGGAAGACCATGTCCCACAGGTGCCACCCCAGCCTGTGGGACAAGGAGCCACCCCAGGGACAAGGAGCTTGAGCTGAACTGCTTCAGCGAGAGCATCTCCTTCCCACTCCCAGTCACGGAACACACCGGACAGTGAGATAGGAGGCAAGGGAAAATTTCATTTCTGCAGGCCAGCTTTTTGATCAGTGCCAGAACCAGCAGCTCCTATGTTGCTGCGAGATAATAACTACTAAAGCCAGGCCTCAGAGACAGACACCACACAGCCTGCTGGTAAGGTGGAAAATGCTGTTGTCCTGCTTTAACCCAAAACCCTGGGTTTGGAAGAGCTCTGTGGCACAGAACAGGCTCTGGAGGTGCAACCCAAACTCAGCCATCCCTGCCCGACCCTCAGCCAGGAAGATCTACACAAGAAGCTCACTCAAGTCTCAGAACACACTGATTAAGCAGCGGTTAATTAATGAAGCCCCACAGCCCTCCCTTTACAACGCTTGAACAGGTTTAGTTGGATCTGTTGCTAAACAACCGAGAGCCAGGCACTGCACACAGCTTGCTAGCATGGAGTTTACCTTTACTCACAACCCCACTGTCTTTAGCTGAAGCTGAAACCAAAAGCCCCGGAGCGACGGCAGCACCAACACCGAGGAGATCCAAAGCCGGCACTGACAGGCGATCTCCACTTCCCCAAAGCTGGTTTTTTTCTGCTCTGCTGAGCTCAGCAACGTCCCCCACACAAGTTCTCCTGACCTTACCCAAGGGTGAGCTGGAATCCCCCCTTCCTGAGGGATCCAGAGCAGCCCTGAACCCACCAGGCTCGAAGGAACCAGACGAGCAGAGGGCGAGGCATCTCGGCCCACGGCTGGCAGGTGCTGTGGGAGCTCCCCTGCCCAGGTGTGCCCTCACCTGCAGCTGGGTGCTGTACCGCACGCCGGCCCCGCTGGCCGGGGGGCTTCGCTCCATGGCCGGGGCAGTGCGGCGCGGCTCAGGCCGCCATGGCGCGGTGGCTGCGGCCTGGGCGCCGGGCCCGGCTCCTCCTCCCGGCGCTCCCGCAGGTGCGGGCAGCCGGAAACGCCCGCAGGTGCTGGGCCGCTCCCGCCTCGCCTCTCCACAGAAATACGGGAAAACACCGTGCCCAAAAGCCCCACATCAGCTCTGCAACATCCAAGAGATCCTTCAGCCACAAGCTTTGCTTTAGCAAATGAAACCAGAAAAATCTTGTCTTCTAAGAGAGGCTGCCCTGCAATCGGTAGGAGGGCTGGCTGGCATGCAGAGATGCACGGTTCCTAAAGAAAAGCTTTGTGTATCCAGGGTCTCATCCCTCCTCCGGTGACAGCATTATCATGCTATGAAGCCCTGCTGCAAAGAGGGCACTCTCAGCACTAACAGATAGTTTACCCCAGGGACAAGATTCATGCTCCCAAAAACATTTGGTTCACTCAGAAGCAAAATATTACCTTTCCTCAGCCTGAAATCTGCCCTCAGCAAGGCTACATCAGTGTAGGAATGAGCTTTCTCTTGGCTAACAGAGATCAGATGCAACGTGAACAACACGGCAGTGCTGCAGAAACTGCTGTGCACCCAAACGTGGCACTCAGGGGATGCTCACATAGCAACAGCCCCTGGGGCCTGTGTGGTTTAATATTAAACAGAGAGGGAAAGGAGGAACTGGGGTTCTGAGAAAACTCTAATGCAGGTTTAAAAGAATTTATAACACTGAAAGCTGCATTCAATCTTACTTCACGATTTACCCTTTCTTGAAAAGATGATTCATACACACACATTGCAATATTTAGGTTTCTCACATTCAAGAGCAAGTCAGGATTAAAACAGCTAGATCAAACTCACTCTTTCACATAAAAGTTCTTCCTTTCTCCATCTTACATGTGCCAATCCGTATGAATATGCAATATGCCCATTCAAAATTGAACTGGCCACCCCATGCTGAGCCACACTTTTTACACCAATTGCATCCTGCCCTGAAACTGAATTTTTTAAACACTTGACCACTTAAAACTGCCCAAAACTCTTGTTCTGGTACAACAAGAGTTGCTGATCACACGCAGAAAATACCTTGCTGAGTCTCCTTTGTTTCCCCTTGCTCTACATGGTCTCCTGCGGAGCAGAAGTTTTGCAGGCTTTTTGCAGGTGGTTTTTTTGGGAAAAAATAGAGAAGGAGTGAGGTCTCTGAGCCTGCTATGGTGTAGAAACACATAAACCACCGCCTTCCCTGCCCCCTCAGCAGCTGCCAGAATCCAACCCACCGCAGAACACGGCACAGGAGGCAGCATCCCCGAATTTAAGGTAGTCCTTTTGAAAAGGTGCCGTGTTAGTCAGGCTGATGTCAGGAGCTCTCAGCGCTCCTGCTGATGCCCAGCCCTGCCCAGCGCTGTATTACAGCCACTCCCTTACCTGCCTGGCTGCAGCCTGTCTTAACACCCCCGTGAAACAGCATATTTTGGGTACAAAGCAGCTGCTCCCAGCTGAACTACTGCTCCTACATTCTACACATTCTTCCTGTTTGGCGCATCCACTGATCTCCTCCAGGCTGATGGCAAGCAAACACCCCTGCATCAGGAATGTAGATGATGAGGGCAAAATGTGAAGATCCACAATCCCTGGTTCGACACCGAGCTGTGAATGCTCACTGTTTCCTGCCATTCAAGCCACTGACATTTTACAAACTACTTCACGAGCCCTCTTTGAACAAGGGGACACAGTCACCGTGGGGAAAGCCAGCAAGCAATATATGTGCAAAATGTAAATATTATATAGCTGGGAGGTGGCTAGTTCGAGGCCTCAATACCAGGGATTCCGGTTTTTCTGTTGCTGGAGTACAGGGATTTCCTTCGTGGCTCTGCTGCAGCCATTACCGAGTCACAGTGGTGGGAGCAAGTCGCCTCCTGGGCAGAGTACAACCCCAAAACATACAATAACAATTCCCAACCTGTCTGCCACGTGCTTTTTTTAGTGAGAGACTTCCATGTCTGACTGAAAGACGCTGAGCGCAGCCGAGGCACGGTGAAAACGCAATAAAGCATAAAGTTCTAGGCACTCACCTTCATGCAATGGCAGCAGCCACCCGCAAAGCTTCTGTTTGCTCCCGCTGGAACCAGTTCATCCAATAAAAGCTGTCACCTCCTCCTCCTCCTCGCGTTGTCTCAATGTAGCCGCAACAGCATCTTGAGAGCAGAGACGAGGTTTGGGAGGAAGGCGAGCCCTGAAATCTGAGAACCAAGTCCGGCTTGGTCAGAATCTGTGCGAGTTGCAAGAGCTAAATCGCCCTGAGCTCGAACCCCAGACAAGGATCAGCTGCAGGAGCAGCAAACTCTGTCGGGGCAGGCAGGATCCTTCCGCATCAGCTCCCAGCCCTAGGAATGCCATGCACGTGAAGGAAGGGAAGAACTGCTTACAGAAGGAATGAAGGCCTGCTGCCGGCGGGAGAGGAGTCTTCTGGTGGAGGTGGTTGCCAGGAATTCTAGCAAAGGAGCACCATCCATCCACACCAGCGACGGGCCAGATTCACTCAGGGACAAAGGCTTTTCCTTCCCGTAGTATGGCTCAATGATTGTACTCTCAGCGCGACTCCCAAATTCAAATTTCAGCGACAGTGCCCTCCCACCCAGATTCCTGCCAGGCAACCCTGAAACCACCCCATCTCACAGCTCAATCCGGTCCGGCAACTTCTAAAGCATTACAAAAGACTGGGAGAGAGATAAAACTCACAGGGTGTCCTGTTACTTTGCATTCCAAAGAGTAAATAAAAGGCTGATTCAGTGGGAGGAGAGGAAAACGTCATCCAGCAGCGCTGTGCTTTCCAGCTGAACAGGCAGCCCCCAGAGCAAGGGCTGGGTACCGCTGGGGATGGGCACAGCCACCTTGGGCTGATCCAGCCTCTCTATCTGCAACGCAAGGGAATAATTACTGACTGTGGAGAATGGGAGCTGGAAAGGTGTAGCAAGTTGCTCTCAATTGGCTACATGCTGCTCTGGGGCAGAACAGGGAGGTGGCACTCCCCTTCCCAAAGCTGTTCAAGGGTTACTGTGTCATTTGGATGGAAACTTCTCCTTTGATCTCAAATGCTTCTCTCACGAGCTCAGGAATGAGAGCCCTGCTCCCAAAACATGATTTTGGCAGAGATCAGAAGTAGCTTTGCCCTCCTGAGATCGTGAAAGCTGGCCAGAACTAAAGGGGCCTAGTGCCCTGCTCCATCTCAGGGATGTCATGGGCATAAGGGCAGCCTCCAACACAGCCCAGACAGCTCCTAGAATCGCATCCAAAATCCAGGAGGGTAATTTCCCGTGCCTCTGCTTCTGGTGCCAGCCACGGGGCTCCCAAAGGAATACAAAGCACTAGGGAACACTAGGATGTAACCTTGCTGCCGGGACTATAAAGACAGCTAGGTCTCCTTGAGCTCTTCAACGCTAGAAAGCAGAGAAACTCTTCTGTGAGCTCTGAATCAGCAGCAGCAGTGTTTGCCAGCCAAACTGTGAACGCAAGAGTGGACAGGCCTGACCGCCTGGTTTCTGGCACCGTGTGTTTTGAAACCACTGGGCACGCCCAAGGCTCCAAGTCAGGTAAAGTTTGTCTTCTAACGAGCTGCAAATGTGTAAACTGAGGCCTTGACTTAGCTTAAAGCAGAGCGCCCTTTCACCCTCCCCCAGATCTCTTTGACTCACCTCAACACAAGCTGAAAATTAAGAATACAATAAATCCTGTCAACCAGCCTAATTCAGCTTTGTAATTATAATTACAAAGGACTCATCCCTCCGACTGGGGGCTCTCCTGGTCACAACTGCCTGAAAACAGACTAAACTTTCCTGTTGCCCTTCAAAGGAACAGGGTGCTAATTTTCTGCCAAAAAATACTTAGGGCTTTTTGGGAAATACCCAGCTTTGCACATTAACACCTTCCCTCCTCTCAGCTGTCCTAGCAGAGGCTGGAACAACAGCCCAGCTAAGTTTAGGATTTTTGGTAAAGTACAGAGGCTGCATATGACATTGCAATTATAAAAGTGACAGGACAGATAACAACCTTTGCACCAGCACCTTCACAGCCATTTCAGGGGCCATCCTAAGTTGGAAGCCACTTGTAAGCCCCCCTCAGTACAGGAGCACTGGCAGACCCAAAAGCTCAGCTTACCAAGTTACTGATTGTCATTAAGGTACTCAGGACATTCTTAGCCAGTGAAACAGAACTTACTTCCTTACACAAACAAAGGGAGTGCAAAGGGAGGTCAGTCATTCATAAAGCCGCAGTGACTAGAGGGCTTGTGACTGTCTCATATCCATAATTTCACTGTGTAACTGAGTACACAAGAATAATTCTCACCACAGGCTGACTTACAAGAACTCTCCTTAAGCAGTTTAAAAGCCCTCAGTGCATATTCCTTTTGCTTTTTTTTTTTAGTAATCCAGCATACTTTTATATATATATAAGCATATTTTTGTATGCATGTCAAGCAGCCATTGCTTCCCCAAGCACAAACCAAAAAGCTTCCATACATTGCTTCAGAATAACAAATAAAAACATTAAAGCCACTTGCCACGTTTCCAAAAAATGCCAGCACCTTGCAGGTCGCTGTTAACTCTTCAAGCAGTGTCAGCACGGGGGAGAGCATCCTGACCTGCAGCAGGTTTGCTCTTCTTTTCTTTCTCTGCTCTACTTTCCAGGCCCTGATGGCCTTGCTGTGTGTCAGCACAGCCACTTACTGATACTCCTCTGGGATTTGGCTGGCACCTTCTCTAAGTGTCATTGCAAAACCTCGTGGTTCTAGAGCTCTGAAGGACCAGCATGTTTCTGCTTCAAGGATCTTGCATTTGGCAGCTGACTTATTCTGCTCCAGGTGCAAACTGCAGGACAGTGAGAAAAAGTAACATTAGGAGGTATGGGTGCAAGGCTCACCAAATTGGTTTGGCGAACACTTCCAGACATAAAGAAACAAATTCCTTCTTAAAATACTGACCTCTGATTGAGTTTCAGTATTCAGGCCTCAATGCAGGATGCCGTGTACAAGATTAATCCAGGTCCGAATGAACTAATCCACATTGAATGGGTAACTTGGCATAACCTGTGTCATCACCTGTGTCATCCCTAAATTAAATCATCAATAGCTCAAATTTGCACTACTCATGCAGAATTTCTTTAATAGTCCACAAAACCAAATGGCTCTATCCAGGGGGTGATTCACCATACAGGAACAGGAGAGAGGTCAAATAAATTGTTCCTCTGGAGGGATCAGCAGCTGCAAATGCAGTCTTGTGGTGAGAAATTCAGATTTATTTATTGAGAAATTCAAAGGACAAGAAAGATGATTCCAGTTTTCCACCTCTGGATCTACACACATCTGGTCTATCCACATAACTAGGTTCCAATAAATCTCAGATTGAGATGAGTCAGTTGCAAAGGGGTTAAGTACAGGATTAAACAATTTTTCTACCAAAGCATGTTTCCAGCATGGACCCAGCAGCACATTCTCCCTTCCCCACAGCTCGAAACTGCTGTGTTTAGTGTTTAGGCTATAGGGCAAAGTCTGAATTCCAGAATGCCATCCTACAGGATGAACAGCACCCAGCCAGAAAGGTCCTGAGTTCGGGCACTATGTACCCAACTTGTGGCAGGCACAAGAATTGGGTCTATTGTGAGGTGGTTCAGGTTTGCCATGTGACAAACAAGTAACAAGGTTTTTGCATTTACTAAAAACAATGCTAGGATTTTCAAAGGTATTGGAAAAATGAAGATCAACTGTTAAAACATGTCCAGTTAATGACTCTTTTGAAAGGAACACCTGAGGTGAGCTCACAGGGTTATGAGGGCATCCTACTGAATTATATAAATACAGATTTCCCCCATGATTTAAATAAAACAAAACCGTTGTTAAAATAAAGTTTAGAAAGGTTTTAAATGGCTAGTGGCTGTTTGTGTAGCCTGCTCAGTTTTTTAAAGCAGGTTTTACACAATATTCTCTTTGTGGAAATAAACTCCTAATCCACAGCTTTTAGGAGATAAACAAGGCTCTTTGATAACTAGTGAGCATCTCAATGTGACAAAAACAGGCTGAACTTATTTTTTAAACTAGAAAAGGTATTGACAAAGATTCATCAGGCTGAATGGCCCTTTAGTTCCAGGCAGGACAGGTGGAAAATGGGTAATGTCAGTATAAATACTTTCTCTAGGCCCTCTTCCCCTGCATGCTGCCCTAGCAGCTCTTACTGCAGGACTCCTCCAGAACAGCTTTCAGGCTGCAGAGCAAGAGGATGTGGGAGCATACACCACCTGGAACACAGTCTAGTTTGTAGATACCCTCCCCCAGTCTCAGCACACCCTCAAAACCACAGGAGCCCTTCTCTGCCCTTCTGCCTCATATAGTTCAAAGTTACTTATTAAAAACAAGGGCTCTTGACTTGCAGTAGCTTAGGGGTTATTTTTCAACCAGAGTGGAGCAGCTCATCAGACAGGTGGTAGCTGAATCACAACAGGCTGTCCTTTGTTTGTGAAAGCTAGGATAAACACTTCCTACCCAAGCCAGCACATGGCCATTCAAAATCAGAAGCCCATTCAGTATCTGATGCTCTTTTCTCCCAAAATCAGACTTCAAAATAAAAGAGCATAAACCTAAGAGAAGCAACAGGGAGGCAAATGTTGCTCAAAAGTAGGACGGTGTTTAACAGCAAGACACTTAAAACCAGCAGCAACCACCTGAGACACACTAAGCTTCTCGGATTAGATGCAGGTTTCTTGTTTTCTTAAGCTTAATACTTCCAAAGCCTCCTGTGTCCAGCAAGAAAGTAATGAGGATTGACAGAAATTAAAGGGTCTTCACAATGTAACCATCTTTAGCACTTGATTGTAGGTTATTTAATAATTTATTAATTATGAAGAGAACACAGCAGGATTATCTTGATTATGTTTTGAATTTAAAAGGCTCTTTCACATAAGCAATAGCAGGAAATTGCTCGTTGCCTGCTTAATTTAGTCTTTTAACTTCACAACCTAAAGGACTTTGGAATGTCCTCACCTCCCTCCCACACCACAGTCCTTCTGCTGGCTCCTGACTGATAAATGTGGAAAACACGTACCAAACATGGCAAAGCAGGACAGAAAACCTTTATCACTCCATACTGTGAAGCATTTGGACCATAATTCAAGCACTTGCTTTCAAATGCTGAACTGATGTGTCCTGCTAACTCAGCATTTATATCCAGTCACTTCTTCTCTTACTGAAATAGCTGTTTTCTTTCAAAGTGGGAAGTGGGTTAGATGTAGTACAGAAAGATCCACAGCCCCAGCCTGAAGCCCAGCAAAACAGTAACACACACAGAGCTCCAACCACAACAGTCCCGAACTGTACATTTTGGTTCTTTAAGCATATTATATTCTATTATATATAATTTGGAGCAAATCACATCTTAAAAAAAAAAACCTACAAAAAAAGACCAGGTTAAAAAGAACCATCTTATCAAGAAGATGGACAGGTTATTAGAAGATGGACAGCCCTTGGCCAGCTGGACAATGACTGTACACAAAACACGCTGTAGAGAACCAAAAGGATATGGCAGAGATCTATAAGGCTTTCTACACTTTTATTCTTCTCCTGGTCCAGCACATCTTTTGATCTCATTAAGCTTCAAGGTAATGTCAGAACAGTCACAACTTCATCTCCAGTATGTGCAAAAGTCAAAAATATTTACATAGACAGATAAAACTACAAAAGTAAAACCAAAACTAACAGCCAGGGTCATGGGTTAAAGTATTTCTTCAGAACCCAAGAGACAACAGTTTGGGTGTATTTGAAAACATATTCTACAAGGTACAGTTTGTTTCCACTGATAAAAAGGTTTCTTTGTTGAAGAAAACTAAAAGAGGATTGTTCTTGTGAACATCACCCTTTTCCTTTCCACTACAGTCCCATTTGCTGACAGACTTGTTCACACAGTGACTTTCTGTCTCTCATCTCCCTCTCCCCCATGCTCACTCTTACAGCAAAAAAACCACTTTGACTCTCACCCTGTCTTTGACAGTAAATTGACATGGATGTAAGTTACAATAACTCCGCTGTCAAAGACACCATCCTGAGTCACTAGGTAACAGTGGTGACAGCACGACTCCAGTGAAAGCAGACATCTTTTCCATGACTTTGAAAAGCCACTGAATAACCCCTTCCAAGCAACCTTCCCTGCTTAATAAAGATCCAGGATAACTGCTTTGTGTACAACTGAAAATGCAGAGGAACTGTATTTGCCAAAAGTCCTTTGGATGAAAAAAGAACAAAAAACAGCAAGACGTTTCTTAAAACAACAATTCCACAGAACCTGGATTTTCACGTCTGAACTGAAACATTTTGTTTTGCAGGTACAGCATGTTTTTTTCTGTGGAATTTCTACCCAGACATGGCAGTGCTGACCCTGGAGAAGCAAGGGCAGAACCCAGTCCAATTCCAAGCCATGGCTCGGGTTAGGCAGCCTCAGGTGTTTGGTTGGATGGAGGATGACAATAGGCTCAGGGAAGTCCTTAGAAAGTGATCCATGTTAAAACCATTGGTCACAGCTGATCCTGAGTCTGCTTTGGAGATGGAGCTGTTGTCACAACCACAGTGGACACTGCTTTAGTTGAGCCAGAGACTGTTCCTTGCTGGAGATGGGAGGCTGGAACTGTTTGAATTCGCACCTGTGTGAAATGGAAAGAAATAACTCATCTCAAGAACAACCTGGTG